TTCTCTCGCACACACACAAAATCAAACATATACACTTTCCATATTAAGCCCAGTGGAGGCACTTCATATGAAATAGTAACTGTAAACCTGACTTTCTCGGGCTTTAACATGGCAGTACCACATAATAGAACAGGTCAATCAGGTCAAATGGAACAACAGGTACATTGCTTGGCTCACAGCAGCAACAGTTGGTCCATTTCCACTGCAAAGATTTACCATCTCGCATTTCAAAAATCCATGACAACACAGTATAAATAGTAACCTTTATTCCACTAGTACAACCCCATACATCATTACTATATATACAGTTGCAGTCTGAAGTTTACATACACCTTAGCCAAATACATTTAAACTCAGTTTTTCACAATTCCTGACATTTAATCCTAGTAAGAATTCCCTGTCTTAGGTCAGTTAGGATCACCACTTTACTTTAAGAATGTGAAATGTCAGAATAATAGTAGAGAGAATGATTTATTTCGGCTTTTATTTCTTTCATCACATTCCCAGTGGGTCAGAAGTTTACATACACTCAATTAGAATTTGGTAGCATTGCCTTTAAATTGTTTAACTTGGGTCAAACGTTTTGGGTAGCCTTCCACAAGCTTCCCACAATAAGTTGGGTGAATTTTGGCCCATTCCTCCTGACAGAGCTGGTGTAACCAAGCTTTAACTTCCTGACTGATGTCTTGAGATGTTGATTCAATATGTCCACGTAATTTTCCTTCCTCATTATGTCATCTATTTTGTGAAGTGCAACAGTCCCTCCTGTAGCAAAGCACCCCCACAGCATGATGCTGCCACCCCCGTGCTTCACGGTTGGGATGGTGTTCTTCGGCTTGCAAGCGTACCCCTTTTTCCTCCAAACATAACGATGGTCATTATGGCCAAACAGTTCTATTTTTGTTTCATCAGACCAGAGGACATTTCTCCAAAAAGTATGATCTTTGTCCCCATGTGCAGTTGCAAACCGTAGTCTGGCTTTTTGGAGCAGTGGCTTCTTCCATGCTGAGCGGCCTTTCAGGTTATGTCGATATAGGACTCGTTTTACTGTGGATATAGATACTTTTGTACCTGTTTCCTCCAGCATCTTCACAAGGGCCTTTGCTGTTGTTCTGGGAATTATTTGCACTTTTCGCACCAAAGTACGTTCATCTCTGGAGACACAACACGTCTCCTTCCTGAGCAGTATGATGGCTGCGTGGTCCCATGGTGCTTATACTTGCGTACTATTGTTTGTACAGATGAACGTGGTACATTGAGGCATTTGGAAATTGCTCCAATGGATGAACCAGACTTGTGGAGGTCTACAGAAAAATTGTTCTGAGGTCTTGCCTGATTTCTTTTGATTTTCCCATGATGTCAAGCAAAGAGGCACTGAGTTTGAAGGTAGGCCTTGAAATACATCCACAGGTACACCTCCAATTGACTCAAATGATGTCAATTAGCATATCATGACATCATTTTCTGGAATTTTCAAAGCTGTTTAAAGGCACAGTCATTTTAGTGTATGTAAACTTCAGTGAATTACAAGTGAAATAATCTGTCTGTAAACAATTGTTGGAAAAATTACTTGTCATGCACAAAGTAGATGTCCTAACTGACTTGCCAAAACTATAGTTTGTTAACAAGAAATGTATGGAGTGGTTGAAAAACTAGTTTTAATGACTCCAACCTAAGTGTATGTAAACTTCCGACTTCAACTGTACACACACACACAAATCGCACTATTGTGTGTTCAAACTGGAATTCAATAGCAGCTTCAAGGGCCAGGCACATCAGGAACACAACAGTAGTAAGAGCCAAACAACAGAATCTAGCTACTGCCCTCAGGTAAGAAATCTCAATCCATAACATTAAAGGTGCTACCCATTGGGGCAAATTCTATCTGGAAGCTCAGTGAATTGCAACAGCACTAGGCTGCTTTCAAAACAAAATCTACCCTCTCCCCCGCAACACGGAGGAGACTCACGCTTGAGCCTTTTAGTTTAGTTTTTGGTCCACCAGCTTAAAAACAGCAGTAAAACTATATTTTTTTGTTTCTTGAAAATATATTTCACAGAGATTTAGATGGTACAATGATTCCCTACAGTATTCAGTGCTTGTTTTCTCACATACAACAGAAATTGAGTAAACCGTGTAGAATTTTAGCAACCAGGAAATTAGAGCGATTTTTACATTGGCCGCTTGACCCGATTTCCACTTGATAACACAGCCAAAGTCAAAACAGCTTTCCCATTTTGACAACAGATGTAATCAATAGACAAATATCACAGCTAATCACAACACTGGTGGGCAGTTATGCAATACAGTGAACCACTATCATTCCACTATTACTGCAGATATATTATGGCCATTTTCTGAAATGACAATGCAAAATAAAAAATCCTATGTGTAGCACCTTTAAGGCTATATAAAATTACTGCTATGACTTTTCCATCTCTTACTGAATGCAGCTAATTGTGAGACATCAGTTTGCATTGTTTTGTGTCTGATGATATGCTTTACCTATGGCACCTATGAGGAAAAACCTATGGCTTCAGGATGCAGTGATCAAGGAAATAAATTAGCTAAGAACTAAATTACTGTAGTGTATTTGTCACGTAGAAACAACTAAAGAAACGTAGTCTGAAGACCATAGTTACAGCCCAGTGCCACACACACCTATAAAACTCTGCTAAATACTTTCCATCCTTTAAAGGAGGATTTTTAATTAGCAATTTAACAGTGTCCTTTAATGAAAACATATGCAGAAACAATTGCTAGTATCATAACTATTTTCGATTTGGGATCCTACACCATGCACTGTTTGAGGAAATCCGGCATGGTGTAGAAAGTCATACAACATTTAAGGTATCGAGGGTAACTAATATAACATTTAAGGCTTTTTTTCAAGAGTTATCATGGAGGAGGAATGAGGGGCCATCACAAGAGTAAGCCGTTACCCAAGCTAAACTGAGGAAAAACGCACCATGCTAGACCCATAGAAATATAATTACTTAGAAGTAATTATAGTTCTATGATTAGACCCATCTACTAGCATGAGGTAACCTGCATTTCAAAGAACTGGACTGAACCACAGTTCTCCTTTCTAGGTAGTACAGAGACAATACATAGTTAGGATAAGGCTAGCAAGTGAAGGAAGAGTGGTCTCCTACGAAGCAAGCTAGATCTACTCAGGGTTTTCTAAAGCTAACCAGCTTCCGTTAGCTTCACATTCCAGCTCTTATCCGTACTAAGACGGTGGATATTGCTCGTCCGTCTGCCACTAACTCTAGCAATGCTAGTAACTGCACGTGTATGTCGTACATGGCTAGTCGAATGCTGAACTTTTCGTTAAGACAATGCTGAAACGTCAATCCATGGGCGAGTCAGTGCCACATTTTCATTTGTGCCGAAATCATGGTATGAAATGGGCTTTTAGAAGCACAATCTTTATTACTTATCGTTGATGCCAACGTGGTGTGCTTATTAATGAACAACCACAAGCACCTTTTTCCCCACTCCTATCGATAACCTTATTTTATTAAGTCGTAAAAAAGTGTTACTGGGCATGACGTTTAAAATGCATTGTCATTAAACTGTGTAATGGGATATTTTAACATTACTCTTTAAGACAAAAAAAAACATATATTTAATCAGTCATCTTCCTCAAATGAAGGGGATCATGACGCAATCTTTGCAAGAGGGAGGGAATCTGACTTTGTTGGTCCTCAACTCGTGGCTCAGTCATTTCATTCAGGGTAAGTGGAATTAGCCATGAGTTAGCCTTCCCCAGAGCAGGTTAGTTCTGAAGGATTTATTGCCATAGAGATTTACCTGGCTAAAAGGTGAGCCACTTTCGTATGACCAGTTATCCAGAGTTGACCAAAGTTACCTCGCTAACTCCTCAAACCTGCTTCGTAGGATACCCCTCAGCTTACCACAACCCCCACAGACAGGCAAAGATCCACAAGGAATTGTTTACAGTAGTATAGTGGTGAAAGTATTAAATACCATTTTAACCCTCTGGTATATACACTTGCAAGTGATCAATTTGGTCTTTGCACACAGACAATTCCTTTCAAGATCAGGGGATTGATTGTACAGGGTTCACGTTATTCAAATACATGTAATGTTTTTCCCAAAGTTAGGTTTTGTTCCTTTTGTAAATGTTTAGCATAACATTTCAATTCTCCAAGTCCTCATACTGAAAATGTCACCGGTAAAATTCAAGTAGAAACAATTAAAGTAACAGCACAAGGTAGGGATAAAATAAAACAATTAAAAACAACTTCAAAAGCACTCTGTCTCAAGGCCTTACCACACACACAAGAGGACAGGACACAATGGCTGTAGCCTTACCTTACTGTATATGGGGAGAGATTGAAGAAATAATATATTCTTAGACATGGACCTGATTCATATTAGCATACAAAAATACCCCTTCAGCAAATCAGTCTCATTGGGGGCATTAACAAGCATGCATCCTCCATGTCTATATGGAATTTTCAGCCGCTGCATAATTGTAAATGTAAACATAAGTCAGGAAAGTAGACCCCATTTTCTGCCACTGCATTGGCAGCTGTAAGGCCACTAACATTGTAAAAGGGAGTGGTTGGTTCCATGACAACCTGGGCATAACTGGCGCTTATTATGTTGACAGGAAGTAGCCCTACTAGGTTCTCTACCTAGTCCTAGATCACAATAGCGTATCCCAGAAAATACTACAAGCAGCAGATGTCCATGTTGTGGTATGAGTAAGTGTTCCTCATCACTGGAATAACAATCTAAAACCCTTCATCTGGCACTAAGGATAACAGATACCTTTTAATTGGCTGAGGAAGCATTTCTTAAATACAGACAAGTCAGCTATTGAACATTGAGAGCAGGAACAACCGACTAGGGAGAACATTCAATTGATCACTTGCAAGATCTCTACAACATGTGGAAACCTGATTGTAACCTTGAATCATTCACCAACCATAACACACGACTGGTGAGATGAAGACAGATAGATCTATCTATCTATAGCCTGGGTGGTGAGCTTGGATATTTCTACCATTGCCTAGCTCTGGGCCCTGGCCTGGAGCTCTGCCCATGGGGGGCCTGTGCATCTTCCCCATGGCTCCTGGGTTCTGCTGGAATGCCTGGAACTCCCCAGCCAGGTAATCAGACACATTCTGCTGCATCAGCTTGGTCTGACTTGGACCTGGGACCCCAGGTCTGGCTCCTGGTCGGTACTGTGATCCTGGTGTGCTGCAGTCTATGGAGGCCCCTGCCGGGCCCCCCTGGAAGGCCATGGGCAAATCCTGTGGGCCTAGGCCGTCACTTTTGGCTGCTTGTAGGACGCTGCCCCATGGAACCTGCAGGTGGGGCCCGTTGGTGTAGCTTGGCATGGTGCCGCCTGCTGGGCCGGTGACGGGGGGCGAGGAGGTTGTCTTGTCTGATGGGTGTTTAAGGGGGAAGGCTTGTGGCTGCGAGGCCAGCAGCTCGTGGCGGTAGTTGAGGGTCTTGGCAGAGAAGCCAGGCCCAGAGGGGGCTTCTCTCCTGGGGTTCTTACAGGGGTGGGCTCCCTCAGGCAGGTGCTGCATGTGAGCCAGCTGGTGCTGGTTCCAGGAGCGCTGCTGTTGGAGTTGCTGCTGTTGGAGCGGATGTTGCTGCTGTAACTGATGTTGTTGCTGCTGCTGGTGAACCTGTTGGAGCTGCTGTAACTGATGTTGTTGTTGATGCTGGTGAGCCTGTTGTAACTGCTGTAATTGCTGCTGCTGTAACTGCTGCGTCATGTCAGTGTGGAAAGCAGGTGGCATCCTGTTCATGACAGCCATGTTGGGCTGTAGGCCACTAGCACCCGCAGGGCCCTGGGATCCTCCAGGGACCTTCTCTTTCGGGCCCAGCAGGCAGGAGGGAAGGAGGCCCAGATTGTGGGGTGTGTTGACCCTGGAACTGGCGTTGATGAGGAGGTTACGGCTGATGGGGCTGGGGTTGGCGATCTGGCCCTCGCACACCGAAGTGGAGCCCATTCCGGCCCGAGCCTGGCAGAACTGCTTGATCTGGTGCACGATGCTGCTCAGGTCGGGGCCCGGCCGGTTGTGGTGCAGGCCGGCCGCCATGGACAGTGGGATGGTGGAGGTAGATACGGTTACGTTTGGCGGGGCGTCTGCGTCTGGCAGCTTCCTGGGGCCTGGCTGGGGCTGCAGGACATTGGAAGCAGAGGGGGAGCCAGGGCCGGTACCGGAGGCCTGGGGGAGAGGCTGAGACGGGGGGAGGCCCTGGGAATGTTGCAGACTGGGTGGCTGGGCCTGGGCCACATCAGGCAGGTGTCGCAGGCCCTGGGGGAGAGGCTGTGACAGGGGCAGGCTCTGGGGGTGCTGCAGGCCCTGGGAATGTTGCAGACTCGGTGGAGGCTGGGCCTGGGTCACGTCAGGCAGGTGCCGGAGACCTTGAGCCCGAGCCACAGCCTGCTGTAGTAAAGCTTGTTGGTGGGGAAGTGTCTGGTGCTGCAGAGTCTGATGATGAAGAAGATGCTGCTGTTGTTGCTGCTGTAAGGTTTGTGGCCGAGTCGGAGTTTGCTGCTGCTGCTGTAAAGTCTGCGTGTGAGGCAAACTCTGCTGCCGCTGGAGATTCTGCTGTAAAGTTTGAGGGTGGGCCATGTTCTGTTGCTGTAAAGTTTGAGGGTGAGCCATGTTCTGTTGCTGTAAAGTTTGAGGGTGAGGTTGAGGCATATTCTGTGGCTGTAAAGTCATGGGGTGAGCCATGTTGTGCTGCTGCTGTAGAGCATGCTGTGGATGTGGGAGGCTCTGTTTCTGGGCCAATGCCTGGGGCTGGGTTTGAGACATGCCCTGGACGTGGGGGACAGGCAGGGGGAGGTTTAAAGTGCTCTGAACGACGTACGGCCCGCTGTGGAGGTTCATGGCTGCTTTGGGAAGCAGACGGGCTTGGCTGCTGTCTTTGCCGGGCGAAGTGCGGAGGACAGCCAGGAGGCCCGCTCTGGTGCTGCTGACCTGAGACGGGTAGGGGCTGTGGCGCTGGCTGGAGGTGGATGTGTCCAACCCGTTCACCGTGCGGCGGATGTGCTTCCTCTGTGGTACTTTGACACTGTTGGGGAAGATCTTTATGGTCAGAGGCTTGTTGGCGACTTTCTTAGCAAAGGCATCCAATTCTGCTGGGGTTGGATAGTTGGCAGATCTCATCTTCTGTGTAGTGTCCCCTAGGATGGGAACAAGGATAGAGAGAGAGAACAAGGAATTTGAGCCTAACCAAAGTTAGTTCAAAGTTCATTCAACTAATGACTGGAAAGGATATACAACTCATTAAGTGGAAATATGAAGAGGAAACTGAAATTATAGTACTCAATTCTATCAGATAAAACACTTACATTGCTGAAGTCTAGTGTTCATCTGCGTGTGGGAGAGAAATCGGGTGGTAGGGTCACCTGATGATGCTGGCAGACAGGCCAGCATGTCACACTTCCACTAATGCAACATGGGAAACGCTCTCCTCACCATGCTGAGAGAGACACACACGTCAGCAGTCAAACACCACATTGACCATGTAAAATGACCCAGCCATAAAGCTATCTATTTCCTGTACATTGTGTGACCTTTCTAAAATGGCAGTCAGTAATTAGCCGGCATTTGTGCCTCAGCCTTCTACAGCAAGTACCCTGCCTGCAGCTAGACAGAGACAGCAGCGGGTTTAAGATTGAGACGCCTTATCTCCTTTCCTAGGGCACAGCAGGACAGACTGCATGATGGCTACCGAGAGAGCCTCCAGCTGGCTCCACCAATCTCTATGTCTGCATCCCAAATTACACCCTATTCCCTATATAGTATACTACTCTTGACCAGGGCCCATAGAGTGGTGAGGAGGAAGAGGAGCTCCACAGACCCTTAGTGTCCGGAAGTAATTTAGCCATTCATTGTAGTCATTGTGATCTGTAGAGTTGATATTTTCTCAAGTTTTCTTGTGTCAATTACCTCGTGACATTCCTGGATAACTCATTATATTAATAAAGTCTGATTCAATCAACAACTACAATAGTCAGTTGAAAAAAGGTTCTGGGTACAAGACTGTGTACATATCTGGCTGTGTTGGCAAAATCACTACATATCCCATCAAGCCAAGTGGGGAGAGGTTGCCCTATGTAACAGTTCCAAGACCAGCCAGATATGTCCAGCTAACCCTACGCCAATGAAGACGATGGATCTGCAAACTGAACTTGGATCCGCATTAAGTAGCAATGATATCCTTCACCACCATCATCTTTCGACAGATATCTGGAAACATTCATGAATATTCAACAAATGTTTATTTCCAGCAAAGTTCTTAGTTACATGATTGTATAACTAGCAAAGGAATTTTGAAGTTGAGGGTGCCAGCTGGACACACATGCACACTAGGCTAATTCAGGAAACAGATTGTAGTTTTTATGCCCTGATATAAGGAACCGGCTGCGAAAAGTTTGATTAAACAATTCAGACTGAAATGAATAAATCAGTTGAAATATTTAAAGAGAGCAAATTGATATACAATCCCGAAATCAGCTGTAACTGTCAACAGTAAAACAAAGCCCAAAATGATGTTTGAGTGAAACCTGAATACAGAAAATGAATGGTGAATTCCCTTCTGGACACAATAGACTCCTCACCACTTTATTCATTTACATTTTAGTCATTTAGCAGACGCTCTTATCCAGAGCGACTTACAGGAGCAATTAGGGTTAAGTGCCTTGCTCAAGGGCACATTAACGTCATTTAGCAGACGCTCTTAGCCAGAGCGACTCACAAATTGGTGCGTTCACCCTATAGCCAGTGGGATAACCATTTTACAATTTGGGGGGGGGGGGGGGGGGGGGGTAGAAGGATTACTTTATCCTATCCCAGGTATTCCTTAAAGAGGTGGGGTTTCAAATGTCTCCGGAAGGTGGTGAGTGACTCCGCTGTCCTGGCGTCGTGAGGGAGCTTGTTCCCTCATAGGGCTCTGGTTAAAAGTAGTACACTATTTAGGGACTAGGGTACCATTTAGGAGTGTATGTGTGTCAATACTTTACAATACTAAGTGATGCAGAACAGCTTTGTGTTAAGTATGTATGTAATGGTGCTTTGTCACCCAGAACCCTTTTCAGTTCTGGAACAAAGCTAAATGTGTCAGAATCCAGAAGTCCCAATCACTCAAGCATGATAGGTCTTACATTGTAGCTGGTTAGTGTATCCAGCTAACCAGTTCTTGAAAATGATGGACATGTAGCTACTAGTTACAATAAATATACTCAGTCTGATGACTGGGTCTACCAGAAATGTTATTGCATCATTGCGTAAATATCAATAACCCTAGTCATTCAACGTGGCTCTAGCCTGAGTAGGGCTTCTCTGATCAAGAATGCCTGACCATTAATATAACTAGCTAACTAGTTATGAACAAAGCTCATTCTTAAATACTAACTAGCTGGTGTCATCGTTGTGCAGCATTGTTGTCTAGTAGTCAATAGACCATTTAAAATGTAAATGAGCACTAGCTAGCTACTGTACTGACAATATTAGCGTGCCAAAACGTATGTTTTTTTTTCAAACTTATAACATAACACTGGCATTGTAGTTCTAAATCAGTAACGTTACTTAGGCTACAGTTACACGAGAAGGTAACTAGCTAAATTAGTCGGTTAATAAAGCCAGCCATGTAGCTAGCGATGATGAATGATAACAAGCTAGTGTTAAATACCCCGAGTCATAGCACCACAAAGCACTGAACACTTCTTTGTGCTGCTAGTGATCAGCTAGGCTAACTAGCTAACGTTGGCCTGCTATCATAGCCGGCTTCTGATAGTTACTGAAGTAAACATTTTGCAAAGGAAACACTGAAAACAAATAACACGCAAAATACTTACTCCCCGCGAAATCAAGAGAAAGGCATTTGCAAAAACCTCATTTTAGCGAGATGATCGAACATCGATATTTTGGTTATTATGTTAGCTCACCGATTCTTTCTTTCTGCTGCTTGCTTTCTGCAACAGCAACTTTGAGAACGCATGCGCAGTAGGCACTCTGAGTTTTAGGACCTTTATTCCGCATATTTTAGGTGTGCATACTCAATGCCTGACTAATATTCCTTGGTAATAACTGATAGAGGTGAAAGTGCTGAGATTCTTCCTGCAAGATGCATTAAAAACGATTTATGATAAGGATTGATTGAATTAATGAGTGACAGGCCTTGGCTCAAGTTAGTAAAGTATTGCATTCTAGCAAGACTAACTTGTTTTACATACCATGAATGTTGCAGCTAGCTTTGATCATACTGTCCACCCCAGACTATACATCAGTATCTATGCTGTACACCCTGTCGTCTATTGAATTATTATATTGCCATTAGAAAAAGAGCACAACAATGTTGTAATTTTATTAGAATGAAGACTGAAATATGGTAATATGTTACAGATGGATAACATTCACAAATAACATGTAGGATCACTTGTGTTGTCCTGTTGAGAAATAAAAAAAACATCTACATTGACACAAAACTGGTGGCATGAGTGCATGCACATCTCTATATTTGACACATAACAGTAAAGTGAATATTATTTTCACACAAAAATGACAAAATGACATTTTGAAAGGACCTCAGTATCCAACATACAGTATCTTTAGTGGTTTGTCAAAAAAATAAAAGCTTAGTCAGAACAATGCATTTGGTCGTGAAGCCACAATGTAACTCAAAAATCTAAATTACAGCTGTTACACAACTGAAACCTTTTCACAGTATTGGCAAAATTACAATGGCTGCAATGAAGTGGAGTCAAATCAATTTGAGGGCAGCAAAAAAGAAACATAACAGTTTAACAGTCCTTCAGAGTAGTCATTTTCATTTTACTAATTAAAAGAACATTACGATATGTCTGAGAGGGGGAAAGGACAAGAAAACATTTTTCCAATTCAAACATTATTTGAGCGCTGATATTCTTTACAAAAAAGCACTGAGCAAATTATAATCTGTCCACTTACATGATAGCTGGACTTTTCCCATCTTGGTTTACCATTTCACATGATCTTATATTGAATAGTGCAAGTCACCAAATCAGTGATGATGGCATCCACATATATTAAAAATGAACAAGAAGATCTGCCATTTCCCTGTCCTTGTACAAAGGGCTACTCTCCACCTTGGTTCAGATTACAATGTAAATAGTGATACTAAACAACAAGCAGAAAGTTAGTCTTCTACCTCTACTATGACTAATAACAATACAACAAAAAGCCAATATAATCAGATTGTGATGTTCAGTCTTGGAATGAGCTCAACAAACAGATAATATGGAGGTAATGTGGAATGACAATAGTGTAACAGTACATATACCCATTTTAACAATTATATATAATTAAAAGCAAAATAAATGACTAAATACATTGAACAGCATTGTTTGAACAGGAGTGATTCTTTCTCTGACACAAGTGTATGATATACAGAGTTATCTTTAACAAAGATTACATCATGGTAAGAACCTGAAAGGCTGTCTTACATGACTTAAAATGTACTTATATTACTATATAAAACTGCAACAAGTGTCTGTCAATGTTATAATCAAGTCACACTAATCAAATTAACAATTAAATGAAGAAATCAACAGAATGAACAAAATTACTTCTTAAAACATATCACAGCTCATATTTTTTTAAAATATGAATTCCTGTATAATAAAAATTATAAGGAGCAATGACTAGTTTGGCTACGAGTAACGCCATTTTACTTCTTCTTGGACTCAAAAACCCTTCAATATTTCACATACTGAACTTTCTCCAGGACAAAGAGTTCTCTCAATAAATTACCCTGCATCATAGAAACCCACAAAGTCTTCATCTCTCCCTCAAACTTAATTCAAGTCAATTCAGTACTTCAACTTATTTTACGCCAATTCAGAAAGGTGCATCATAGCCAAAGAAACAAAGGACTGCCAATCAGGTTTCTGGGATGAGTAAAAAAGGCCATTCTTGTTGCTATAAATGAAAGTATCTTTGAAATAATGTACTAAACATAATGTTTACAGCATAAAACTAAATGAAAAGACATGATTTCTTGTTGAGTGGGACGAATTCCCAGTTACCCAGAGTTTTGACTAAGTAGAAGCCTAAATCAATTATTTGAGGATAGTAAGCAGTGAGCACCTTGTTTCATGTAGCACTTGATACAACTTGTCACCTGATTGTGAAAACCCATTACTCATCATAAAGGACACAAATGAAATCAGCTAAATGAAAAGGTATATACATTAGGGAAGTTACTGTACTCTAACCTATACAATAGTCACATGATAGCAAGATGAGATCATTACTGAGTAATCATGAAGTGTATAATAGGCAAGGTGAGTACAACTTTGAAAGAAAATCACTGAGATTGCTCTTCTTGACAGCTGTTCACTGAAATTAAATGGTAAGGTAGAGACTAAATAGGTATATGAGTAAAAAAAAAAAAGGCTCAGTTCATGCTAAATTATAATGCATCCCATGTGATCTACTTATTGTACAAAGCTTCCATGATTCAAAAAGTAGTGAACTCAAAGATACATAGAGTATATAAAGGAGCAGCGGTACATGCAGATATTCTGGTCCTGTAGAAATTAAGGCACCAGAGGTTTTTTTAAAATCCACTTGTTCATATTTAATAAATAAATAAATAATAATAATTTCAAGTGTATTGAAGGCAGTCTATGAGAGTGCATAAAACAGATATCAGAGTAGAAGCGAGAGATTGTTTTCAGGCCTGAGCATCGGTCATCCTCTGCAGTAGTGGGATCTGTTGAATAGGAAACAAAAACAATTCAATTTAGGCTAGAAAGAGATATTGTACGCTAAGGTTTCATTTCACAATTTCAGAAAAATTGCATGTAGGTTGGAACAATCCAGCAGCACTAATAGGATTCTCTAGGACATATTGGCTAATTCATAGAATTAGAATTACTAGAACAGACATTACCACTCTATTCAAGTCAACATTCCATGATGGGTGTAATTATATTTCTATGGACTCACTAATCTATGTTTTACCTACCATTTTCACCATGCATGTCTGTTGAACAATACCATACTGAAGCTAAATGAAATTCCACTTCCTGTCCAGCCCCTAATTACCTTTGATAGGTCAATTCCTGTGAGGGCGTTGACGGACACAGGAAGTTCAGCCAGGAGGCGGTTCACTTCCCCTGTCACATGGTTGCCCTCCCCGCTCAGGATGACTATCTCTTTGGTCCTGGCCAGCGGTGCCGCCACCTTGGCTGCAATCTAGGAAGACACGGGCACATTGAGATGTTTTTATTGTGCTCACATCACAAGACACGTTTATGGTATATAATGTCATATTACATCAACTGATGTAAACCCCCAGTTGAACAAATCATCTGACTTGTGAGTCACTTTAAGATGGTGTAATCTGCCACTTGTACATGTAGGCTACCACACCTAACACTGGCTGACAAAGATACTGTAGATAACTACTGGTGGGTTATGACTGATACAACTGTACTTTGTCCAGTCAGAAATAAAAAATAAAAAGTCAAACACTGGCTTGTCATTATTACTGTGACTAGATTTCCACTATTTATTACTGCTTTATTAGTATCAATATGACTAGGTTTATTTGGGGGCATGTTAATGAGTGTGTCTACTGTATATCTGCACATTACTACCTCAATATGAATACATCTGTATGAAGGTTTCGTGAAGGCAGTAGTGATATAATTTGATCAAATCTAAACAATTCAAATGCACGCGTGGATACACTGCATTTAAAACAATCAACGCAATATGACTTATGTGACTTAATTCCATAGTGTGTTACCTTGGGCAGGGCCTCCAGGACCAGAGCAGTCTTGGCTGCCTCTCCATACTGCTGGTAGGCCTCAGCCTTCAGCCTCATCTTCTCAGCCTCAGCCTTCCCTATCGCCTCTATGGAGCCGGCCTCTGCCTCGCCTATCCTCCGGATCTTCTCTGCCTCCGCCTGGGCCGTCAGAACCTTCTTCATCCTGAAAGACACAACACACTCGTATCAGAACTGGGAAACTAGATTGTTTTCCAAGAGACAAAAAGTATCTGTGTTTCCAAAAGAAACAATGAGTAATTAATATGCTATTATTGTGTAATTACCATTTTACCAGCTCACTTATAAAAAAACGGGACATTTTTGCACTGTTAAATAAAGTGCTACCAATCCACTCATGAGAAAATGTTTTTGTGATAGAAGACAATGCACATTAAGTTGAGTGGAATCACTAGTGAATGACAGTTTGTATGTTACAGCTAGGTAAGCGTATAATGGGACTGTGGATATGTTCTGTTATGATATGATATAAAAGGTATTCCTACTTCTGTCCCTCAGCCAGCTGCTGCATCTTGTATGCCTCTGCCTCGGCAGGCCTCTTCACCATGGCGATGAGCTCCTTCTCTGTACGGACAATCTCCTTCTCCTCAATGGTGATCTGCTTCTTCCTCTGAACCACCTCAATCTCTATCTCCTCCAGCCTAATCTTCTGCTGTTCTTTAGCTGCCTGCAGCTCATAGGCCAGCTGGGCCTCAGCTTTCTGGAGACACAGAGAGACATGACCATGAAGTCCATGTTGAAGCACACAGACAGAGAGACAAGATCATGACATGGCCGTCTAAGTTGATAGAGGAGTTTTAATGTTGAGGTTGGCTGGAGGGAGCGTTTGGCTGCTTAGGGCTATATTAAATGTTCATTCCGGGCTCTCTGATCGCGTAAGATGTCGCATTAACTAAATTACTAAAGCCTAATGATAATTTAGACTCGGATGGACCAACATCATAGAATAATTTAGTAGACTGGAATTTCTATCGCACTGTACTCATTTAACTGGCATTCAAGAGTGGAGTATGGAGTTCATGCAGACCTTGGTGTTGACTTCTTGGTTGAAAGCAGCCTTCTGCAGTTCAAGTTCTCGTTTGGAGTCGGCCATCTTGGTGTCGGCCAGGAACTTGACATACATCATCTCCTTCTTGCACTCCGCTTCCTGGCGAGAGAGAGTGAGACAACGAGAGAGAGAGAGAGAAGAGTACATGAGAGAGAGAGGAGTACATGTGAGAGAGAGATTAGAATGTACATGAGAGAAGGGGCAAAAGGATGAGGACAGGAAAATGGGAAATTAATAAATTAAGAAAATGAGCGTACAAACTTCTCAAATTAATGTATGTACATTAATACAGACAAACAGAGCCCCATAAATAATTGCCCCTCTGGAATTAATCAAGTTTATTGAATGTAATCTTACTCGTATCCCAGCATCCCTTTCTGCCTCTGCCACACCAATGTCTGCATCCCTCTGGACTGCTGCTGTCTGAGTCTTCCCTAGTGAGCTCAGGTAGTCCAGTTTATCATAGACATCCTACAAAGACACACACACACACACACTAGCTCAGATTACTATACACAACCCGAGACACTTGAGGGAACAAAAACGTCAATAAATGTCCAACATCAACATGTGATAACATCTAATTGATTGTCGCACTTGCAGTGAAGAGTGAAGAGCTGATAATAAAAAGAGGATCTCATTGAAGGGGACTGTGACAGTCTAGGCTAACTCACAGCTAGTTAGAACTACTACCAGTCCACATTAATCAATCCTAATCAACAACGGTGAAGACTAGTTAAGTGGAGTCTCCTCCCAATCAACAGGTTTACATCATCAATTAAATTCCATAGGATAACAAACACCAATAAGACAGCAAAGGCAAAAAACAAAAACATTCAAAATAAAAAGGTGTGTTTAACTGCATTTACCCTCCACATTTCATGGCACCACTGACCGACTCACCTTGATAGTGAAGCTGAGAATCTCAATGCCCATTCTGCCCACGTCGGGCGCTGCCACCTCCCTCACCAGCTGTGCAAACTTGTCCCTGTCCTGGTAGATTTGCTCCACCGTCAGTGTGCCTGTAAAGAGGGGAGAGCAGCAGAGCCTGTCAGTCTCTCTACAACACTGGATATAGACCTACTTCACTTACTGACTTTACTTTAGTAAGGCTATCCCACATGGTAGTCAAATAATCACTGAAATTCATGGGTATTTACAAAGATTAAATGAATTGTTAAAAACACATAGATCTATAAAGTCGTCATCATCATATAGTAAAACATGATACATCTCATAATACAGAACATATAACGTTAACTTTTCAATAGTGCAGTCTGTAGATTCTCGGATTTCATGTTTGTGGTTTTAGAAGTTACCCTTTTACACATTCAGGCTCTCATTACATTGACTGTAATTTATATTTTAATTTAGACAGGCTATTTTTAGTACAAAGCTTGAACAAACTGTTTGAAAAGCTACCCATCAGCAATTATTTGTTGTTGAAAAACTACCCATCAGCAAAAACCATGTGTGTGTGTGGGACGCTGAGGTTTAGCCACTGATTTACATCAGCTAACAGAGAACAAAGCTGACAACAACCAACTGAAATCAATGGATGACCATAATAGACATAATTTTCACTTTGGAGAGATTCTCCTCACCTAGAATTGAGCGTAAATGTCCCTCCAAGGTTTGCAAAACCACTCCTTTGATTTCGGGGACGGATTTGCCCAAAAACTGCTCGCAAGCAATTGCCAGAAGATCATGATCTGTCATCACTTTGATCTGGAGAAGAGATGAAGAAGAGGGTTAGAAAGACAGACTGTGGCCTGGTTGCATACGAAAATATGAATCACTGTGCTTTAACTTGATCTATGGCTGTAAGTTAGGTTACACAAGGAGTTAGTCCTTGGTTTACATGAATGTATTTTGCATACTCAGAACAGAATCTGTCCTGTGACACAGAAAGAGCTTACAGTACATGGAGTAGCTACAACTGCAGTTTGTAAACTGGTATGCCACAATGAGATATGAAATCAATAACAGTTAGTTATAAATAGGTAAGACATTTTCCAATTCAATGGTGTCGGTTTCATTCAATTGACAAAATTATACTTTGACACTGTTTTCATTGACAACGCATTTTATGAGACAAATGATGGAGGTATGTCATGGTGGTGACTAGTCTCTTTCCAGCTGTTTTTTGTATTTTTTTTACCTGTGCCACCCCAGTGACAGTGATGGCGACCCCCTCTGCAGTCTCAACATCCTCACACTTGGGTTGGAGTGTCATAATCTCCAGGGTAATCCTATATGAGGAAAAAAAGTATTTTAGGTAATGCAGACCTTAAAGGGGCAGTTGAAACAATAACATGTTCACTCCCCACTGTTTCGGTAAAAAGCTAAGGGATGGGGCTGTAGAAATGCAACCACTCAAAATCATAGACAGAGCTATGGATACAAGGACTGACCAGCCTTGATTTCAAAATTATAGTTTTAACTATGTTGTGAGGCTATACAGTGTTTGTTTACATTCACTTTGTTTACAAACATTGGAGTAAGAGAAGCTTATATTTTGGGTTCTGATGGGGTACGACAGTTGAATTAGCTCATGAGGCCTTTATAAGTTAAATTATTAATGAATCAATGGGTACATATCATTAACCAAAAAAGGATATACCAACTGCATATTGTCCCTTTAACAGCACAATAACAGAGGCAGAGGAGAAAAATGCTCTGCATCAGTATTATGTGACAATGTGTCACTGACAACACATGTGGAGCAGAAGTAATGGAATAATTTAGAGGCTCAGCTGAAATATTGTTATCTTATGATTGTTATCTTATCTCATCATTGAATAAATATAATTGGGAAGTCAAATGAGGAGTTTCACAATGGCGACATTTCAGTGATGGAATATTTCTATAGTGGAACGTTTGTTTCTGGAGATGTACTACTTCTATTGCCACACACTTCCTTGACACACTCCCCAAACGACTAATGGCTAGTTACTGGCTATTGAGCAAAAATAAACCTCAAGAAACCCTAAACAAAACATTGCATGCTTTCATGTAAACCCAGGGGACAATGACTTACAGTCAGTTAATAAACAGAGGACAGCACCTAACCTACTGTGAAAAGGGTAAGAATGGGGCCAAGTGACACACAGGAAAGAAGGCAGAAGAGTGAATGTGTACTGTAGTTTAAGAAGGTGGGGCCAAGTGTCCTTTGCCATGTTTCCATTTGAAACATCCAGAACTCATTCACACAATGTAGGTCAGTCAGGAAAGTGTGGCACAGAATAAAATAGTCTTCCACGCACGTGCACACACCTCCTGGCTGATTGTCAGGCCGCAGATGGTGTGTTTACTGAATTGTAGGCGATCATTGAAGAAATCTAAGGTAGCTGAAAGACCTGTTGGAGCTGTGTCCATAAATGATTGTGGGTTTCTAAACCTCAGGCAGCCCTTTTATCCAACTTAGTATTTGTATGGAAACATGTAGTTTTATTTATCCATTGAATAAATAAAACAAGCCTCCTCTAGACCATTTGCAAAACAACCCATGATTGCTGATAGACTGATGAAGACAATTCTATAGCATGCAATGACATCATCAATGGTCTCACCTTTGAATGTCAGTGATGAGCCACCAGGCCCAGGCCCAGCCCCCCACCATGTAGGTCTTCTCATCTGAACCACAACAGGCACCTGAGAAATGAAACAGACAAGGTGTGAGTCAGTGGCACAACATTTCCATCTGGGATAGACTCCATCATTCATTATTGATGCTCAGTTGACACCCTTCTTAGTTTTTACCACAACAATTCCTTTGTCTTGCTGCTATGCACTAGCTAGGTTACTACAGGTCAAATGTAAAACATGTAGGTATAAGCTACTCAGACTTCTATAAGAGTAGGCTACATGATTACATAGCCTTGTGTATAATTTCCCTGCAAGCATAGAAATCCCTTGGCTTTGCACTTGGTAGTTAAGTGAGGATCATATTACAGTGTACAGTGAGGGAAAAAAGTATTTGATCCCCTGCTGATTTTGTACGTTTGCCCACTGAAAAAGAAATGATCAGTCTATAATTTTAATGATTTAGATCTTCCTAAAGTCATTAAGGTTTCGAGGCTGACGTTTGGCAACTCGAACCTTCAGCTTCCTCCAAAGATTTTCTATGGGATTAAGGTCTGGAGACTGGCTAGGCCACTCCAGGAACTTAATGTGCTTCTTCTTGAGCCACTCCTTTGTTGCCTTGGCCGTGCGTTATGGGTCATTGTCATGCTGGAATACCCATCCACGACCCATTTTCAATGCCCTGGCTGAGGGAAGGAGGTTCTCACCCAAGATTTGACGGTACATGGCCCCGTCCATCGTCCCTTTGATGCGGTGAAGTTGTCCTGTCCCCTTAGCAGAAAAACACCCTCAAAGCATAATGTTTCCACCTCCATGTTTGAAGGTGGGGATGGTGTTCTTGGGGTCATAGGCAGCATTCCTCCTCCTCCTCCAAACACGGCGAGTTGAGTTGATGACAAAGAGCTCAATTTCGGTCTCATCTGACCACAACACTTTCACCCAGTTCTCCTCTGAATCATTCAGATGTTCATTGGCAAACTTCAGACGGGCATGTCTATGTGCTTTCTTGATCAGGGGGACCTTGTGGGTGCTGCAGGATTTCAGTCCTTCACGGCATAGTGTGTTACCAATTGTTTTCTTGGTGACTATGGTCCCAGTTGCCTTGAGATCATTGACAAGATCCTTCCGTGTAGTTCTGGGCCGATTCCTCACCGTTCTCATGATCATTGCAACTCCACGAGGTGAGATCTTGCATGGAGCCCCAGGCTGAGGGAGATTGACAGGTCTTTTGTGTTTCTTCCATTTGCGAATAATCACACCAACTGTTGTCACCTTCTCACCAAGCTGCTTGGCGATGGTCTTGTAGCCCATTCCAGCCTTGTGTAGGTCTACAATCTTGTCCCTGACATCCTTGGAGGGCTCTTTGGTCTTGGCCATGGTGGATAGTTTGGAATCTGATTGATTGATTGCTTCTGAGAACAAGTGTCTTTTATACAGGTAACAAACTGAGATTAGGAGCACTCCCTTTAAGAGTGTGGTCCTAATCTCAGCTCGTTACCTGTATAAAAGACACCTGGGAGCCAGAAATCTTTCTGATTGAGAGGGGGTCAAATACTTATTTCCCTCATTAAAATGCAAATCAATTGATAACATTTTTGACATGCGTTTTTCTGGATGTTTTTGTTGTTATTCTGTCTCTCACTGTTCAAATAAACCTACCATTAAAATTATAGACTGATCATTTCTTTGTCAGTGGGCAAATGTACAAAATCAGCAGGGGATCAAATACTTTTTTCCCCCTCACTGTACATAGCTAAGGATGTAGTAACTCAACCAATCAAAACATGGAAGTGTTGGTATCACTTAGCTCTTTCAAAACTATAATTTTTACCTAAAATACTTTTGTCCCGCATATAGGATTACACTGGAGATCATGATGCTCCAACCCAAGTGTGAGGATGTTGAGGACTGCAGAGGGGGTCGCCATCACTGTCACGGCACAAGTTTAAATAAAAAAACACAACCTTTCCATAGCCTCGCTTCTCAGGCATATTGCATGACTGTTATTTGGAGTTGTGGGAAAGACCCACAGCTGGAAAGAGACTATTTGCCACATTGCATTAGCAAGGCTATCATCCCATTTCAGCATTTCCAGATTTCAAATCAAATTTTATTTGTCACATGCACCGAATACAACAGGTTTAGACCTTACCGTGAAATGCTTACTTACAAGCCCTTAACCAACAATGCAGTTCAAGAAATAGTAATGTAAATAGTCCGGGTGGCCATTTGATTAATTGTTCAGCAGTCTTATGGCTTGGGGGGTAGAAGCTGTTAAGGAGCCTTTTGGACCTAGATTTGGGTGATTGGAGTCTTCGACAATTTTTTTGGCCTTCCTCTGACACCGCCTAGTATATAGGTCCTGGATGGCAGGAAGCTTGGCCCCAGTGATGTACTGGGCCGTACGCACTACCCTCTGTAGCGCCTTACGGTCTGGTGCCGAGCAGTTGCCATACCAGGCGGTGATGCAACCGGTCAGGATGCTCTCGATGGTGCATCTGTAGAACTTTGAGGATTTTTGGGTCCCGTGCCAAATCTTTTCAGTCTCCTGATGGGGAAAAGGTGTTGTCGTGCCCTCTTCACGACTGTCTTGGTGTGCTTGGACCATGATAGTTTGTTGGTGATGTGGACACAAAGGAACTTGAAACTCTCGACCCGCTCCACTACAGCCCCGTCGATGTGAATGGGGGCAAATTTGGCCCTCCTTTTCCTGTAGTCCACGATCATCTCCTTTGTCTTGCTCACGCTGAGGGAGAGTTTGTTGTCCTGGCACCACACTGCTAGGTCTCTGACCTCCTCCCTATAGGCTGTCTCATCATTGTCGGTGATCAGGCCTACCACTGTTGTGTCGTCAGCAAACATAATGATGATGTTGGAGTCGTGCTTGGCCACACAGTCGTGGATGAACAGGGAGTACAGGAAGGGACTAAGCACGCACCCCTGAGGGGCCCCCGTTTTGAGGATCAGCGTGGCAGATGTGTTGTTGCCTACCCTTACCACCTGGGGGTGGCCCATCAGGAAGTCCAGGATCCAGTTGCAGAGGGAGGTGTTTAGTCCCAGGGCCCTAAGCTTAGTGATGAGCTTTGTGGGCACTATGGTGTTGAACGCTGAGCTGTAGTCAATGAACAGCATTCTCACATAGGTGTTCCTCTTGTCCAGGTGGGAAAGGGCAGTGTGGACTGCGATTGCATAATCTGTGGATCTGTTGGGGCGGAATGCGAATTGGAGTGGGTCTAGGGTTTCCGGGATGATGGTGTTGATGTGAGCCATGACCAGCCTTTCAAAGCACTTCTGGCTACCGACGTGGTAGTCATTTAGGCAGGTTGCCTTCGCTTTCTTGGGCACAGGGACTATGGTGGTGTGATTGAAACATGTAGGTATTACAGACTGTAACGCCAGGGTAAAGCGTCTGCTAAATGGCATATTATTATTATTATTATATTATATTAATCACTTGAAATGGCTAACTAGCTAGCTGAATGCTAAAGAGGGTCACCATGGTAGCAAACGCCAGTTAGCCACAGGAATGCAATTTGGCCAGAGATGGGGGAGGGAGTGAGACACCCCACTAGCAGTTTTTTTCTGGTTCAGTGAAAGTCAATGAACTAAGTAGACCAGATGCAGCTGCTATTGCATTGGTGTCTATAGGAGACAAAACCATTTAAGTAGACCGGAACTGACCATTATTTCTCTCAATGGTAAACAGCCTGAGTGAACCATCTTCAATTATCCACCATCTTTGATTAGCTCAGTCACCAGTTAACCCAACCTTGTCTCAGAGCATTTCGTATTATTCTGTACATAAATCCGAGATGCGCCATTTAGTATGATATGTTACATTTGGTATGGTTACATAAAACAGATGGTTACTTAAGGCAAAAACGAAAGTTGGGTTCTTTGAGTTCGAATCTCAAAGAACCCAAAGGTTGCGAGTTCGAATCTGAAAACGGACAAGTTTAGCAGCTTTTCAACTACTTCCTACTTTTTAGCTACTTTGCAACTAATAACCCTCACATTAACCCTTTAATATATAATATAATATATGCCATTTAGCAGACGCTTTTATCCAAAGCGACTTACAGTCATGCGTGCATACATTTTTGCCTTTCAGCTAAACCTTCCCCTGACCCTTTAACCTAACTCCTAAACTTAACCCTAACCCCTAGCCTAGCTAACGTCAGCAAGCTACCAAACGTTAGCCACCTAGCTAGAATTCGTAACATATCATACATTTTTCAAATTCGTAACATATTGTACGAATTGTAATTCGTAACATATTGTACGAATTGTAATTCGTAACATATCATAGTGAATGGATTGTCTCGGCTTTACATACATAATAATAATACATGTTCTGAAACCAGGTTGGTTAACCAGCTGGTACCAACCTAGCCCAATATGTACACTTAAGGAGCCTAACTTTACTGTTACTCATTAGTCCAAGGACCTTATGTTATTTTCACAGGTAGACTGGCCCTGGAAGGCAAATAATAAATATATCGATTCTCAAATGCATACAGTTCCAGAAACATAAATACCTACTTTCATATCACATTTACATTTCACAAATGCAAAATACACACTGTTTTAACCGGCTTTATCACAGTTGCAGCCGAATGTATTTTTCAGTGACAATACGTTTCTGGCGGCCTTCTTCGGTTACACACAGGTGTTCGGTGCACGCTAGATAGCTCATTAGTACAGGTGGTCCCTCTGTCTTCCGTAAACAGTAAACACGTGCTTTAACATAGAGATATAGCTGTGTGGGAACAATAACCCTATAAAAAGGTGTGTATCAATTTAACATTTTGTTTTTTGAAAATGGTTTCTTTGATACGAAAGATAAGGTCCTTATGCTTCCAAAATCATACCACAATCAATGCGTGTTAATGTTCAGACTGAGCGTTGCTCTTAACAAAACTCCCCAAAAAACTCTCCCCTACAGATAACAAAACTCCCCCACAGAAGACGCCTTCGTCCAATGACTCTTATGATGTGTAAAGTAATAGAACTAAGAGACATGATCAAGGGCTAGTAACAACCTAGTTAAATCAAATCAAATCAAATTGTATTGGTCACATGCGCCGAATACAACAGGTGCAGACATTACAGTGAAATGCTTACTTACAGCCCTTAACCAACAGTGCATTTATTTTTAACAAAAAAAGTAAAAATAAAACAACAACAAAAAAAGTGTTGAGAAAAAAAAGAGCAGAAGTAAAATAACAGTAGGGAGGCTATATATACAGGGGGGTACCGGTGCAGAGTTAATGTGCGGGGGCACCGGCTAGTTGAGATAGTTGAAGTAATATGTACATGTGGGTAGAGTTAAAGTGACTATGCATAAATAATTAACAGAGTAGCAGCAGCGTAAAAAGGATGGCGTGGGGGGGCAGTGCAAATAGTCCACTACATTAGTGAAGCGATATGATTTGTTATGTAGTTTATCCATCGAGCAAAATCAATGCAATGACCGTTTCATTAACTAGCTAGTTATACATTAACTGAAAACCGTTGGTAAACGAATAAGTTAACAAAATAACCATACATTAACAATTAAGCTTGTTGGCTAGCTACGTTAGCTTCCTAGCTACAGTAGCATGGCAGGAAGGGGGAAACACCTACCAGAGACAACCACGGCTTCATTTGGTCCAACTGTAAGGCAGCTACCCATCTTCTTCCGGTGATATATCCTCACAACTATGCGTGAAACAGTTCTGTATTGTACTATCTATTGGTTGTGTGGTTAAATATCTCTCAATTCGATTAAAAACAGTAACATTCACAGCGTCTTTGCCACCTTCAAACCTATTAAATCTCCTGCAAGCCCCCGCCCCAAATCAAGACGGTGACGTAGCCTAGCTAGAAGCTAACGTTTGTCAACACAACATGACCTGCCCACTTCAGGGGGCTCTCTCCCTTCCCATGCAGTGTACTAGTAGCCACTATGTAGTAGCAGTTTCATCTACTGTCTACCTGACGTTTGTCTGTATCATCGATGCACTCTCCACTCAAGATACTGCTACTGACTGCCTAGACATCTGAAGCTGTGGAAGAACATCAACCATGAAACACCAGATCCTTACATTTGTTTTTGTTTGTAATGAAAAGTGCTATTTAAAATAAATATATTATTATTATATGAAATGCTCCTCCTCTTACTCTCTGACAGTACTAACAACAGATGTGGTGCTTTCAAGACAACTGGGTACTCGGAAAAAATGTCAAATCATGACGTCAGTGAACTTCAGCTCGTAAAGGCGGAGCTCTAGAAAGATGCCCGAGTTTCCTACTTGGAATTCAGAGTTGGATGACCGTTCAAAACTATTTTTCCAAGTCGAAGATAGTTTTTTTCCCCCGAGTTCCCAGTTGTCTTGAACACACTTGAACGTGTCAATAGAACAAGGCAACATTAAACATGTAATCCCCCACGAATGATGCAGCGCCACCCTTGGGCCAATCAGTGTATCAAAATGGGTTGTGTCTGAGATATCACCTGTGAATAACGTATGTACAGTTGATTAATAATTTTGTAAATGCCAGATCTCTATGGCAAGACGCATCATTCACCCAAGTTTTGGCCAGTGGTGTCTTAGATATCGCGTGGGTTAGTTAGACTCATATCCCTCTGCATCTGTGCCAAATTCCATCACTCTTAGTCAAACATATCAAGAGATATAAACATGTGCCCATTATAGCGCCACCGTGAGGTCGATATGAATGTTATTGTATATGTTGAGTCTTGACAGTGTTTGCAATATGTGAACGAAATTGTGTTACATTAGGAATATCCTTGACTGATTTATATGCGTTTATGTGCCAGACCCCGCCCACATGAATGTTTATTGGTCAATAGCAGCCATGTTGTTTTAGGTACTAGTCTTGAAACTATAGCTTAGCCATAGATGTCAAATATCAAGTTTCGTGAAGATCGGTAATTTGGTTCCAGAAGAGTAGCATTGTAAGAGTTTTTCACAACATTCTAAACGTCGAAAAATCCATCATGGCAGACCTTATGGGTCACTGAGGCAAATTTGTTCCTTGTAAGGAGAAGGACCTATGTACATAATTTCATGACTTTAGGTCAAACAGGGTGAGGGGCGTGAACTTTCAAATCTGCATTTTCAATCTCTTGTTATAGCGCCACCATCTGGCCTATCAGTGATCTAGCCTCCTCCCGAATGCCTTTTAGTCTGAGTACCAGTCTCTTTAGCTAACATTCCACACCTTGCCACTCCCAAAGAGACTGGTACCCAGGCTAACTGCCTTCCATTTTGAAGACATTTATTTTCATTGTTAGAGCAGCCACTTGAGTATCTGGTCAATATAATGGATAATCTGTGGTCATACAGGATAACTGAAATTGGTTAGTAACACAGGATATCTCAATTGGCCCAAGAGGGGGGGATGGAGGGGCACTGCATCATTCCTGGGGGACCACATGTTTACTGTTGCTTTGTTATACAATGGGTTAGTTGTAACAATCTTTGGTAGTAAGTTGAGCTACAGCTACGACAGGAAGTTACTTTTTCGTAGCAAATCAAATCAAATTTTATTTGCCACATGCGCCGAATACAACAGGTGTAGACATTACCGTGAAATGCTTACTTACAGCCCTTAACCAACAATGCATTTATTTTTTAATAAAAAAGTAAAATAAAACAACAACAACAAAAAATGTTGCGAAAAAAAGAGCAGAAGTAAAATAAAAAACAGTAGGGAGGCTGTTGTTTACAAATATACACAGACCGCCACCCCTTGTCTTACCGGAGTCCGCCGTTCTATCCTGCCGATGTAGCGTATATCCCGTCATCTGTATGTTGTCCATGTCGTCGTTCAGCCACGACTCGGTGAAACATAAGATATTACAGTTTTTAATGTCCCGTTGGTAGGATAACCGTAATCGTAGGTCATCTAATTTATTTTCAAATGATTGAACATTGGCTAATAGGATTGATGGAAGAGGCAGTTTACTCGCTCGCCGTCGGATCCTTACAAGGCACCCCTGTGTGATAGAAGGAGTCAGGCGCAGGAGAGTAATACGCATCCAAAAAGTTTATTCAGTCGATAAACAGTTGCGCAAGCATGCGACAACAAAACTCAGGCACAGGGGACATTTCTACCCTGGCAACAAGGTAAGGGTAGCTCAACCGAGCTACACACAGCTCACTACAAACAATCACCCACACAGACAAGGAAGCAGAGGGAACACTTATACAATGACTAATTGGGGATAAGGACCAGGTGTGTGTGATTAATTAGACAAGACAAGTGGAGTGATGATAAATGGATCGGCAGCAGCTAGTAAGCCGGTGACGACGAACGCTGAAACCTGCCCGAACAAGGAGGGGAAGCAGCCTCGGCGGAAGTCGTGACAGTACCCACCCCTTAACGCGCGGCTCCAGCAGCGCGCCGACCCCGGCCTCAGGGATGGCCAGGAGGACGCGGAGCAGGGCGAGCCGAATGGCGATGGTGGAAATCCCATGGAGGGATCGAGGATATCCCTCACCGGGACCCAGCATCGTTCCTCTAGACCGTACCCCTCCCACTCCACGAGGTACTGAAGGCCCCCCACCCGACGCCTCGAATCCAAGATGGAACGGACCGAGTACGCCGGGGCCGCCTCGATGTCCAGAGGAGGTGGAGGGACCTCCCGCACCTCAGACTCCTGGAGCGGACCAGCTACCACCGGCCTGAGGAGAGACACATGAAACAAGGGGTTAATACGGTAATCAGGGGGAAGTAATAACCTAAATGTGACCTCGTTGACTCTCCTCAGGACTTTGAACGGCCCCACAAACCGCGGGCTCAGCTTCCGGCAGGGCAAGCGGAGGGGCAGATTCCGGGTCGAGAGCCAGACCCGATCCCCCGGTACAAAGACGGGGGCCTCACCGCGGTGGCGGTCAGCGTTGGCCTTCTGACAACGTACAGCGCGTTGGAGGTGAATGTGGGCAGCATCCCACATCTCCTCCGTGCGCCAAAACCAGTCATCCACCGCAGGAGCCTCGGTCTGGCTCTGGTGCCACGGTGCCAGAACCGGTTGGTAACCTAGAACACACTGGAAAGGCGTTAGGTTAGTGGAGGAGTGGCGGAGAGAGTTCTGAGCATATTCTACCCATGGCAAGAACACTGACCACTCCCCCGGCCGGTCCTGGCAGTAGGACCGCAGGAACCTACCCACGTCCTGATTTACCCGTTCCACCTGCCCATTACTCTCGGGGTGGAACCAAGAGGTCAGGCTGACCGAGACCCCCAGACGTTCAATGAACGCCTTCCAGACCTTGGACGTGAACTGGGGACCTCGGTCAGACACTATATCCTCTGGTACCCCGTAGTGCCGGAAGACGTGAGTAAACAGTGCCTGCGCAGTCTGCAGGGCCGTGGGGAGACCGGGCAGAGGAAGGAGGCGGCAGGACTTTGAGAAGCGGTCCACAACGACCAGGATGGTGGTGTTACCTTGGGAGAGGGGAAGATAAGTCAGAAAATCAATGCTAAGGTGAGACCATGGTCGTTGTGGAACTGGTAACGGTTGTAGCTTACCCGCTGGGAGGTGCCTAGGTGCCTTACTCTGGGCGCACACCGAGCAGGAGGAGACGTACACCCTCACGTCCTTAGCCAATGTAGGCCACCAATACTTTCCGCTCAGGTAGCGCACTGTACGACCGATACCTGGGTGACCAGAGGAGGGTGACATGTGTGCCCAGAAGATCAGACGATCACGGATAAGAGCAGACACGTACTGTAGCACATCTGGACACTGAGGTGTAGAGGGATCCGTGCGTAATGCCTGCTCTATATCCGCGTCCATCGCCCATACTACCGGCACCACAATGCAGGAGGCCGGCAGTATGGGAGTGTTGTCTCTGGGCCTCTCCTCTGTGTCATACAGCCGGGACAGCGCGTCTGCCTTCACGTTCTTCGTACCCAGGATGTATGATAGAGTGAAATCAAACCGGGTGAAGAATAGGGCCCACCTGACCTGGCGAGGATTCAGCTTCCTCGCTGCCCGGATGTACTCCAGGTTATGGTGGTCCGTCCAGGTGAGGAAAGGGTGTTTTGCCCCCGAGCCAATGCCTCCACACGGTCAAGGCTCGGCCAACAGCTCCCGATCACCAACACCGTAGTTCTGCTCCGCCGGGCAGAGCTTCTTCGAAAAGAACGCACAGGGGCGGAGCTTGGGTGGCGTACCCGAGCGTTGAGACAGGACAGCTCCTATCCCAACCTCGGACGCATCCACCTCCACTACGAACGGTAGTGATGAATCGGGGTGGGCCAGTACTGGGGCTGAGGTGAACAGACCCCACAGTTTGCTGAAGGTCAGCCTCGGTAGACCAGCGGAGCCGGGACGGCCCACCCTTCAACAGGGAGGTAATGGGAGCTGTGACCTTGCCAAAGCCCCGGATAAACCTCCGATAATAGTTGGCAAAGCCAAGGAAGCGCTGCACCTCCTTAACCGTGGTTGGAGTCGGCCAATCCCGCACAGCTGAAATGCGATCTCCCTCCATCTCCACACCTGAGGTGGAAATGCGGTATCCAAGGAAGGAGACGGACTGCTAGAAAAACATACACTTCTCTGCCTTAGCATAAAGGTAATTTTCCAACAGTCGGGCCAGCACCTTGCGAACCAGGGACACATGCTCGGCGCGCGTAGCGGAATACACCAGGATGTCATCGATGTAGACCACTACACCCCGACCAAGCATGTCCCGAAACACCTTGTTCACAAAGGACTGGAAAACTGAGGGAGCATTCATCAAACCATAGGGCATCACCAGGTATTCATAATGCCCCGTGGTTGTGCTGAATGCTGTCTTCCACTCATCTCCCTCTCGGATACGCACCAGGTTGTACCCACTCCTGAGAGCTAATTTGGTGAAGAAGCGCGCCCCATGCATTGATTCAATCACTGAAGGAATGAGGGGGAGAGGATAACTAAATCTTATCATCTCCCTGTTCAGTTGTCGATAATCAATGCACCGGCGCAGACCTCCGTACTTCTTCTTCATA